CAACAAGAGATCTGTTTGTTCACTGCACTACAGGTGGATCTGCTGGTACTCCAGCTGGTGATAAATCAACAGAGCCATGTATTCTCTCTACCTTCATGAGAGACGTCTGGAGCTCAGATTTGGTTTGCAGAAGAAATTATATGAAACTATCTGATACACAGAAACAAAAACTGCTGCCAAATCATGGGATATTTTCTGTAGCGAAGTCACCAAGTCAAAACTCTGACTTCTTGTTCCACCTGTGTCTCACTCTTGCCCCAGAAACTTAGACAAGACACATATGCAACACCTTTATAGATGCCCACAAGTAAGCTACAAAGTGCAGACCACCAGCACTTCTGATGTACTACTACTGCACCAGCACCCCTTCTGGAACATCCTAAATTAGGGCACCATTTTTGTCTCAGAAAAAATAGAAAGACCCAAAAGTCAAGTGTGCTTTTACACTTCTTTTGACTCAAGCAAGCACAAATCCTACAAGCAAGCTTTGAGAAAGCTCAATATTTTTATTAAAGCATTTGATGAAAATCATTAATAAAGCACAGAACACAAATCTATTCATAACTTATACAGACTACAAAACCAGCACTAATAAGGAATATCAATCTGTCAGCTTTCAACATAGACAGACCTATTTCAGCACTAAAAGCACATTACAATCTTAAAACAACACAGAGAGACTTCGCTAACTCACACTTGAGAAGCAGAAGATGCCCAGCTCTTCTGGACATTTTAAGGCCATTACATACAGAGCTTTTCAGCAACCTTAAGCATGCTTTTTAGATTACTGCAAAGCTATCAACCTATTCAGCAAAGTTACTCATATCACACTTGCATTTCCTTATCAAATGCAAAGCACTAGAAGATTTGGAAGCGGCTGTTGAACATTATGGGCCTGTCTGCCATTGTTTCCAAAGAGAAATACTTGATTGAGAAGCAAAAACAGCAACAACTTGTCTTGTGAAAAAATAACAGAAAGCTTATCTAGAAAGAGACAAAATTCAAAATATTTGTTACAGTTTTGTTTTGGTGAATCACAGCACTGTACTAAACAGGGTACACATCAGAAAACTTTTCATTTTAAACTCTGCAATTGGGTACTTTTAAACAAACAAAAACATGAGCCGTTTTTCCTTCTATATCCTCACAACCATCTGACAACAAACCAAGCCCACTCAGCCCTGATAAAAGCATGACTCTCTAATGTAACTGTACTTCTGGGAATACATTACAGATTCCATAAAATGTTTTGTTACATATGTGGATCAATTTGCCATGTAAATACAGGGTGCAGCCAAATGCAAAGGAGTCTTCTTGTTAGTTTTAGTGAGCTAAAATGGTAAAGAAAAATAAGAAGATGAGACCTCTGGGTGTCTGAGCGAGACAGGTATTTTCCTCTTTTGCAAAATATTTTCCTTTTTGTTTTCTGAATGAGGAATGATGATACTTTTGACTAGCAACATAATACACACCCTTAATATTTAAACGACTAGGACAACACCAAGAACACCCACTTATGAACTCAGCTCCAATCACATCACTGATGGACAACCCATGCCAGGCTTTTCCCACACATACCTTTGGCCTCCACCTCTGAAACTACTAAATACTCTCCAGAACTTCCATGCATCCAATCCACATCTTTCTCTGAGACATGGAAAACTGTAATTTCTCTCAGATTTCAGCCACGCAGCCCCACTGCTGGGGATGACACTGACTGTTAAGTTGGTCAGGAGGCTCAGCCTGACACTGAGCATGACTCCTCTTACCAAAGCAGCCCACTGGTGATGGCAACGTGTTTCACGTTAGGGAGGGATTTGCAGTGAGAAGCAGGGAAGGCTGATGTGACAAAACAACCTAATGAAACAAGGGCAGCACAGCACATGCCTTGTTGGTACCTTCACATTCAACATGCTCTTTCAGATGCAAACAGGCATCAAAACCATGTCACTAATACATTCATGAAAACAAATGGGCAACTAATGAGATTAGTTTTTATTTGCAAAATAATGTTTCCCATACCCCATCTTACTTATATACATTTCTTTTCCTGTTGTAAAATCAGGTCAATATAGCACTATACTGAATCATCTATAAGCAGACAGTGAAATCTTCAGGATAAAAGACAGTGCAATCTTCAGAATATTAGGATCTTCACTGATCCTAAGACTTCAGGGCTGCAGCTTTTCTGCCAAAGGCTGTCAGATTTCACAGAATATACAAAATGAGCAAAATCAACCCATGACAGAAAACAAAGAGCCTTAAGGTTTCCTGACAAAATCTTAAATTTAGCTCTCTATATTAAACAATGTTACTTTATTTTCCCCAGACAATAAGGTTGCTTACAGTAAACACAGTCAATATTAAAACCCTCAAAACTTATGCCTACATTGCAGCAAACCTCAAATTAACTAATGGGAGTGTGTGGGGGGGATCTCTATGGTGGTTTTTCTCCTGTGTGTTTTCTTGGCAGGGAGAGGGATTGTGTAGGGCTTTTTTAAGGGAAAATACTTTATGTTCTTGAACTTGGTTATTCATTCTCCAGGCTGATCTGGACTGCAAGTGCAACCCAAATAACTCATCTAATGCACAACAGCATAGAGAGAGTCTCAAGGGTTGTTCAACAGTGATCTCCAAAAAAGTTAAACATTGATGGGCTCTGAGCAAGTCTAGTTAAAGCTGTTGGCAATTCGACTGCTATGGGGCAATGAGGAGCTGGCAGCAGGGAAGGAGAAGCCAGGTAAGGCCATAGAGTGTTCTTTGTACATAGTACAAAAGGTGACAAGCAGGTTTAGACAACTTAAAAATAGCTTTTAACCTAAAAACCTGTAAAAACACAGGTTACTTAATCTTACACCTTCATCTTTCAAACGTTACAGAACGTATTTTTTTGGTTGCCAAGTTTGCCAAGTTTCACCTTTGACCATATAGATGTATGCTTTTTTGCACACTTAGCTGTCATCAATACCAATTACCATGGATTAAACCACATGCTAAACCACCCATTTTTAAAAGTTTTCATGGTTAATTAATAGCACCAATTTAAGATGTGTCTAACTTTGCATATGCAAAAATAAGCTGTCAGAAAACAGACCTGTGAAACCTTTCAGTTTCCCCAAGTTCCAGCACAAACTGAGGGTTCAAGCAAGTATTTTCTGCAATGCTCTTGGGGACTGCTAAGGAGCCTAAAGAGAGTGAAATCCAGTTTTCTTCATTATGTGGACTAGAAATGGAAATAGTGTATAACTAATGAGAAGTAAACTGATTTTTCAAATCACTTCACCTCTAACAACCCATGACAGTAGCAATATCTGCTCACAAGGTGTTGAAGTTTACAGCAACCTGTGTAGTTTTGACTATCATTGAGCTGTTCCAACATAATTTCTAACTATGGGCTTGCTGTATACACTGCTATTTCCCTTCCCAACATTTAACCCATCTCAATTCATTCAAGAACTCCATTAGTTTTAGAAAAATAGGAACTGATGAAAACTGCTGTAACAGGGTTGATAAAAGCTAAATGACTGGAGAAATTATGCAAGGAAAAAAGGCAACTCATTTCTTACACAATTAAAGAGTTTAATTAGATTATTTATTTAAGTGAATAGAGAGCTTTACAATAGATTTAACTCCTATTAAGTTTCAAGCAATACAAGAGTAGATATCAGTCAGAGTACTAAAATTAGATCACTCTCATATTTAATCAGAAAACATAAGCTCAGTTATGTCAGCAACTTGGTAAGCAGCAATATTGAAAACTCAGCTGTGATTTATTACTTCACATCCAGTGAGGAGAAATGTAAAATTCCTGATCTGTGAGAGAGGTTTATCCATCATACCAAAATGCTACTCAGCACTTCCTGAATAAAGACACTGCAAAAATGTCTTCTCCAGCAGAGATTGTTAGTGGTAGCAATGACAACAGTCTGCAAACACGAGGTCTCAGATACAGCTGCATGCACAAGCCCTTGAGAGACTCTCAACTGTAAGCTGAGACACATGACAATGTTTGCTGTGTTTTGACATAAAAAAAAGTTAAAAACAGAATCAAATGCGGTTCCTGCCCCTAAAGCTTTATGTTGATGCTTGTGGTTTTGTAATGGCTTTTTTCCTCTGAAGGGATGCTTCTATACTGCAACTGTAAAATTAACCTGAAAGAGGCTGATAACAGCTACATGTAAAGGTGCAGGTGGAAGCATGTTCTTCCAAAAGCTGGGTAAAAGGGATGGAAGCGTGTTCTCCCTCAACATGGATGTCTGCTCTTCAACTGACCATTTTTTCCTCTCATTTAATTCCTCTAGGGCCACTTCTACCAAGGCAGTAACAAATATCCATAGAATCAGATTCCTCACATTCACATGGGATTGGTAAAGTGCACTGGGATTTTGTTCAAGGAAATGCCAGGACATGTAAGCTTGCCAGTTTTCAGAGCAGCTTTCTCTCCTGCTTTTCCTTTACAGCCAAGCTACCATGTGGCTGTGCAAAGGCAGGAGAGCAAGGAGACCAAGGTCAAGCCTAGCAATGCTCAAGGTAGCATGGGTGACAATGATAGATAAATAGTGACAAACCATGCACGGAAGGAGGTTTTGATCCCCTCAAAAGCAATCTAAACTGACAACTATTAAAGAAAAACAACTACCGGCTGCAGGACGTCAAGTTCTGCCATGTCACACCCATTTCCCACCTCCCCCTGTATTTCAACTGTAAATTCTCTGATAAGGAAACTGCTTCTTCCTTTGCATTTTCAAAGTTCATGCTGGCTATTGCTGTAAGCTGGAGAATATCAAGAATGCTGTCAAGTACAGACTGCAGGAAAAAGGACATGTTCCAGTTATTTCTCTGTGAAAATTAGAGCGGTCTCACAGACACCTCCTAAAACTTGCTTACAAACTACTTTTGGAACAAAACCAACTTCTTAAATACATATTCCTTTAACCTCATAATTGAAACTGCAGCCAAATTTCCCAAGAGCTTTTCCTTCTCAACTGAGAGCTACATACCTCTCAGATTTCTGGGATGTATCTGCTTTGTCCGAGGCATTTTCCTCTAATCTCATGCACCACTTTCTCCTCTCAGAAACGGAAAGTACAGCAAGCAGAGAGATGGCAGCTCCATAAACTTGTCAAGGGGCTCAGTTAATCCGTATGCTAAAAAAACAGAGAGAAAGTTATGAGAAGTAGGCATCAACAAGAAAAACAAAGATACCTATCTGATCTCTTTCATCCTCAAATGACTATGGAAATTAGCAAGAAATATTTCTGCACCTATGATTTGCTAAGGAAACTTTCCTGTCTGACAGCCCAGGAGCCACACTCCGACCACCAGAGTTACACTGCTGGGACCGAATTCTCTCCACAGCAGGCTTGACTCCCTCCACTCTCACACAGACAAGATTTCCTTGCCGGCTCAACCCACGTTTCCCACAGCAGAGTCACAGACCCCTGGTCCCTTTAAGCAATTTTTTTCACAGTGCAACAGCAGAGTAACAGCCCAAGCTGGTGTCCCAGAGGAGGGATCCTCAAGGATCCCCCGGGCTGTTGCACCCTCCCAGTCTTATGCGTGCCAGAGTCGGGGTCTTCCAGCTGAGTCCTGGGCTCCTGCTGTGTCCCTGTCCCCTGGCAGGGCCACAGATCCTGGTGCCCTTTGTTGTGCAAAGCGTCGGCACCACTTCCCGGCCTCTTGCCCCGGGCTCCCGCCAGCCAGAGCTCAACCTGCAGCTCCCGGCGCACAGCCTGCACCGAGCGGATTCCTCAACAGGTTCTATGGAGCCACGCGTTCCAGTACCTTAGGAAAACCACGTGAGGCTGAAACTCCTTTTAGGATTACTCAGAAAGCATGAGAAAACCAAAACACTTTTCCACATTTGTCAGCTGTTTTCCAGCCAGAAAACATCTTCCAACAACCCTTGTCTCATGCAAATAAATCCGAAAAATTAAACAAAAAATTTGGCATCTGGCTTTTAGATACACATCTTCAGCCTCTGGTGGGGGAAGTACAGAGGGGAGGGCAAACACACAAAGCATCATCCTATTTGTGACATTACCTACAGAATCCTTACATGCAGCATGTAAGTTTGGAAGAATTCCCCATGGGACAGTTCGGCTGAAATATCAGTGTACAGCCCAGAATCACACTAGCTCTTGACCTACCTGCACTTTCTTACTTTTCAAACACTCTTAGGAATTGCTAACAGTTCAATGAGTGTTTTGTTCAGTTTCTGATACAGGATGTGAAATCTCTGAAAGACCTATGGAAATCTACTTACACACAAGAACTTAAAGAAAATTACTGGTGCAATTACACCCTTCCATCTAAAAAAAATTTTTAAAATAACAAGTTTCTGCTTCTTTTTATAGCAATTCTACTTCATGTTAACAGATTTTTCCTTTTAGTAAACACTAGGAAGAGTTCTTCAAAAACTGTATGAACTTTGGAATAGCCCCTAATATAGGCAAATTGATTAAGGACAGCTGTTTGAAGGAGGAAGGGTGTAGAATTTTTAGCATTTGTGGCAAGTATTAACTTAGGGGCACTTATATTGTTTTTCAAGGCAACCATGTTTTTGAGAAAATTTAATTCAAACCCAATTAAAATAGACTACTTGCAACCACCCCTTCAGTCTACATACTGTTGAGGAATATAATCATTAATTTTTAATGTTTCTTTTGTCTGTTGCTGCATTAAAAGACCCAAACAGGAGAAAAAAAATTACTGCAACTGACACAAAGGAAAGCTGGAAAATGTTATTCTGACTAAACGATTCTTCACTAGGGTATTACAGCACGTTGAAGGAAAAAGACGGAAAAAAATCTGAAACAGAGCACAGTGCCTGTTAAGCTGTTAACTCATACCAGTTTATCTGCAAGCATAACAGAAATATTTAGAAATTAAATAAAACCTTATGCTAACAGGTCCATTTTCCAGGTCTTAGGCACGAACTGGAAATGCAGAAAAGTGGCTGGATGGCTTGAAGCGACCAGCACTCCCTGAGCCCCAGTCCACCCCTCTCCTCTGGCTTGACTGGGAAAGTCCCTAGGGCTGGGCTGAGGTTTTTAAAGACGCTAATAAACACCGTCACTTCTTTACACAAGTTATTTGGAGCGAGAGTTTGAAATCCCCCGGCGTCTCCGTAAATCGGGAACCCCTTTCCGACGCTTCCCTGCAGCACAAATGACATCCTACTGACGCTTTAATGCCACCAAGCTTCCCGCTGGCCAGCAGGACCCTCTCCTTCGGGGAAGAGATGGCCGTGTGAGAGCCACGGCGGAAACACCGGGCAGGACTCACGCCAGAAGTCATTCCCTCCCTCGCTTGAACGAGGGAAAAAAAAATATATAAAGGGGAGAGGGAGAAACGGGCCTCTGCCATCGCAGAGGTCACATCCCCCCGTACCCACCCAAAAATGGGGGAGCGGGGCGGGAGGCAGCCCGCCGTGGGGCCCGGGGAGCCGCGGGTATGTGCGAGCGGGACTGCGAGGGGAAGGGAAGGGGAAGGGAGGGAGGCAAAAAATCCATGAATGAATAAAGAGGGAGGAGCCTGGGAAAACCCCTCTGCAACGCCGCACCGAACAAAGCCGGCCCGGCACCCAGCGGGGACGGCGGCGGGGCCGCGAGGAGCCGGGCCGGGGCTCCGCGCCTCCCCGTGCCCCCGAAAGCCCGGCTGCAGAGCCGGGGCGGAGCGGGGGGGACGCCCGGACAAACGCACCGGGAGCCGGGGCGCACCGGCACCCCCGGGGGCAGCGCGGGCGCAGCCGGAGCGCGGAGTCCCCGCGCGTCCCGGAGGGGCCGCGGCGGAGCGCGGTGGGTTGAGGGGGGCATCGGGGCCTGCGGTCCTCCCCGTCCCCGCCCGCTCCCCCCCCGCCGCCGGCGGAGGACACATTGTGTTGTGGCTGCCGCAGCTCCACGCCGAGGGGGGCGGCGGGGGGCGGCCGTCCCGCCCCGCACCCTCGTCCCCGCAGCGCCGAGGGAGGGAGGGAGAAAGAGCGGGGGGAGCGGGGGGGCCGGGAGCCTCCTTCACTTGACAACCTCAAACACAAACATGACCCAGCGCCGCCGCCACAGCCGCCACCGCGCCCGCACACACACGCACACACGGAGCCCGGCAGCGGCACCCACCCCTCCTCCATGCACCGTCCCCCCGGGCCGGCCAAGGCGCCGCCCCCCGGCACGGCCCCGCTCCGCAGCCCCCCGGCCCCCGGCCGCGCCCGCCCCCCGAGGGAGGGAAGGAGGGAGGGAGGGAGGACGGGCGGGCTCGGCGCATCCGCCGGGGTCCCCTCGGGGAGAGCCGCGTTCCCCGCCGGGCCCGCCCCGCCCCTCCCCCCGGCGCCCCGGTCACCGTCGGGGGGGGCGCGGGGGGCGGGGGGTGTTTTACCTTCTCTCACTTTCTATTGCAGGAAGCGCGGCCGGAGCAGTGACGTCACCGGGTCTCCCGGTCCCGCCCCCTCCCCGGGTCGGGGGAGGGGTCACCGAGGGGGTTTCCTCGCGGCCCGGTGGGGGAGGCACGGCCGGCGCGCCGGGGGCGCTGCTGCCCCGCCGCCGCCTCCTCCTCCCCTTCCTCCTCCTCCTCCTCACCGGAGGGACTGCCCGGCCGCCGCCGCCCCGGCCCCTGCTGCTGCTGCCCCGAGGCAGGGGGGCACCTCGCCGCCGCGGTTCCCGGGGGTCTCCTCAAGGGGGGGTCCCCGCTCGGCACGGCACGAGGCAGCGCCTCCCCCCGACGGCCGGAGCCGCCGCCGCTCGGGGCGCTGCGCGGTGCGCGTCGCGCTCCCCCCTGGCAGGGCCCGGCCCCCGGGGCACCGGCACGGCCGGGCGCGCACACACACACACACGGACGGACACGCAGAGAGACGGGGCTGACGCGGAGATCCCGGAGGTTCCTCCCTGCCGCCCGCCCGGACGGGCTTCCCCGCGCCCCCGCCCGCCCGGCCCGCCGCGCCCCGGCGCCGCCGGGGAAACTCACCGCCGCGCCGCGCATCCCGCCGCGGCTACAACTTTCCATCCCGGGCGGCAGCCGGCGGCGGCAGCGAGCCCCTCCGCCGCTGGAAGTGGGCGGGGGAGGAAATACGAGGAGGAGGCGCGTCGTGCTCTCCGCCGCGGCGCCCCTTTTTTGGCCCGGGACGCGGGTTTTGCCGGTGGGGGCTGTGCTGCCGCGGTTGGTTTCCTGCATCAGCTGCGGGGGTGTGTGTGCACAGCACACACGTGTGTCTGTGTGTCTGTGTGTGTGTGCACTCTCCGTGCCGGGTCACCCTGCCCGACCAAGGGCTGCCCTCCCTTCTCCCACGCCACAGGCAAGGGACCGCTGGGTCGCCCTCCAAAAGGCGAGGGGGCCAGGGCTGGGCTTTGGGTACTGAGAAGGAGAAATTGGCATTTCTTTTTTCTTTTTCTTTTCTTTTTTCTTTTTTGTCACCCAAACTCCCCGACAAAGCAGTGTTGGCAGCTTTTCATTGCCACTTGGGTTTTCGATCAGGTTTTGCTTTTGAAGCCAGTACGTGATGTCTTTAGCAAACAAACCCAAATAAATACTTCTTGCATCACCTCCGTGTTCACCCTCCTCCCGTGCCTGCACACCCCTGGCAGTCTGTGTGCTCAGCTGTGAGCACCTTGGCCCTGCTATGTCCTTCCCTTTGGAGTTCAGTATCCAGACCAGATCCTGTCTTAAGCGAACAGGACCACCATTCTCAGAGTTCTCAAGGTTTTTACAGGGAGTTCTTTCAACCTACATTTAATCATGTTTGTTAGATAGATGAGTATTTTAATCACCATTTCACAGGGGAGAAACCAAGGCAGGAAGATGCAGAGTAGCTCGCTGCACAGCTGTGGACTGACATGACACCACTTCTGCCTGAGCTTTTGGCCACAGGCACTGTCTCTGGGCTATTTTTCCTCTTGAGTTCGCTTAAATTATACCTTGAGAAGACTTCCAGCTTACAGTGGTGGCAGGTTCTCTGCTGTGGGTAACCTGTCCTATGTCCTGCCCAGAGGCAACACGGGAGGCAAATGTAAGTGAAATCCCTGGCTAGTTTGCAACTGGTGGTTAGGGCAAGAGATAGTATTCATCACTGAACTGGAGATTCATGGAAAAATCAGACTCTCAAAGAGTATCTTCAGGAGAAATGTGTTCTGCTACTCCTATTGGACAAGCAAATGATAATTATTGTTAGAGACAGTGCTTGTCTTTTCCCTTGTCCATCCTCCCCTTCCCTGCCTTGTTCTTTCTTTGTCTGGCTTTTAGACTTGAGGTTCTGACTTGCTAAAGAACAAAGTTGCTGTTATCCTAAACACACCAGCATGAATATGATCCTATAGGTGCCATAAGCTTAAATTAGTGTACCAAGTCAGAGCAGTCACAAACCCAGGACCATGCAACCTCTGAAGCTAGGTCTGAACCTCTACTTGTTCTGCTCAGCTGTCCTTTAAAGTCTGTCCTGCAGGCCTCTGGGACACATAGCACTAGATCCTTCTTTGCTGCTCATTGTCTGAAAGCTTCAGATTGTGATCACCAGAGTTATCAGGGAGAAAATGTCAGATAGTGGCCCTTCCTCACAAGATGCCTTAGGAAGAAGGAGCCATCACAGTGCTTCTGGTGCCAAAGGGAGTTCTAGGTCACTCATCTTTTCACAAGGACCTGAGTAAGTTCAAAATAGATCCTCCAGCCTGCAAGTTGAAATGAGACCATAGCAAACCCCCTGCAGCCAGCAGGAAAAGTTTCTTCTGCTAGAAGTAGTCAAACTGCCTCCCACCCAGTGAAAATCCAGCCCTCTCACCGCACCTATGTGCACAGGAATATAATAAGTGCTCTTCCTCTTCACACAGGCACAACTGTCTTAACAAGAAAGTCTCAATGAGGTGTCAAAGAGGAGACAGGTCCTCAGGGATGTGTGTCATATGGTGGCAGCTGGTCTTCCCTTGAACATAAAACCAGTCATCGCAAAGTCAGTTTGGGTCAGAGAACAAAACAAAGAACTGAAAGTCTGGCCCCTTGGGGTTATTTCCACGGCCATCTGAAAAAGCAGCCAAGGAGGCAGCTGTGAGCTGGGGACTCTCCTCAGCCTGTTCCCCTCCAGCGAGCACAACTCAGGGCCGAAGGGCTGCCTTGAGCCCAGTTCAGTGTCGTTCCAGCAGGCTGTCCCCCGGCCGGGTAAAGAATGCAATCCTAAGGGCTTTGAAAAGGCAGCATACCAAGCTGGTTATCCCGGGCAGACCACTTCATCTTTTTCTGTCTGTTTTCCCATCAGTAAAAAGGAAGTGCTTACCCACTCAGTAAAGTACTTTGGGAAAAATACTGTGGATGATTGCTAGTAGGAGGCACAGAGTAATCTTCTCAAACCTGCAAATGAGGGAAATTCTTTAAAACTTTTCAGTGAGATTTAAAATGCCACACCAATATGCACATAGGAAAAAAAACTTTTCAGTGAGATTTAAAATGCCACATCAATATGCACATAGGAAAAAAAAAATAAAATTGAAACCACACCATCTTCTTTGCAGAATTTAGATACTTTTAAAATTTCACCTAAAAGGAGAAATTATTCCTGCAGGATATAGATCCTCTTTAAATGACTGTGTATGGCTGAACAGGGAAGATTATTGAGGTTTTCTTCTCTCTAAAACTCCACTGTATTTTCAGGAGGACACCTATTTTTAAACATCCTCTAGTTTTACTCTTGAAATCTCGTTCAGAAACTGGTTTTCTGTAATGGCTCACAGGTATTTTATGTATAAATATATACACATACACGCATTAGGCTCTCAAGAAACCACGATACATTAGGTAGTCTTGAATAATTCATTGTTAAGCACCCCATGATAAATCTGTAGTTGAAGAGTATGTGATTTTGATAGAATTCTTGGGATAAATTGAATGTGAAGCACTGTGGTAAATTTAACTATGCTGAGCGTCAAATGTGAAAACTTTACATTGTACATTACATCCTGACATGCAACTGAGAATCATTATTATTAAGGCTTCGGGGAATTTTCGAGGGAACTTCTGAAGTTCTGAAAAGAAAAAGAACAAGACTGAGTGCTGTTCTCTATAGAAGTTGAGATTTTCTCAGAGAAGGGAAATTCCATAAGTAGTCTGTATTGAATTAACATAAAGGTTTCACTAAAAGAACTGCTGTCTATTAGCTTATGCTCTGAGGCTTCACATTGAGTACTACATATAAAAGTCAGAGGATCTTGGCTTACCTGGTTCCAGTGGGTGCTTGGAGCTTTTCTAGGGCTTGCCACTCCTGCAGCGGGGCTGGAGAGATAGGGCAGCAACCGCTGATGTGAGGGGAGGTAATTTTCCCCTTTTCTGTAGCGGTAGCTGTCACCCCAGATACTCACAGCTCTTCCTTGTCAGCAACAGCCAGGCGCTTTCCCGGAGGTAGGCAAAGGCAGCAGCACAGGGACCTGGTCGTGCACCACTCCTCACAGCCTGCAGCTCCAAACAAGAAGCTGGTCTTTGTTGGGACATTTTGCGTGGCAATATCCTTCATCTCCACCCTTCTCAGGATGTCCTGAAGATGTGTTGCTTTTCATTGTCCCATAAATTGGCTCAGTTCTTTCTGATTTGGAGAAACTGGCATTAAATAATGCAAACAGTTCCACTGAAGAATTGTGGCACAACCTTCCTTTTCAGTTGTGCATATACACTGCAGCTCTGTGTGGTGGTACCTGGTACCTGGTAGTCCTGTGGCCAGGAAAAGGCACAAATCTGTCCAGCTTCAGGTTAATCATGTGATACAGGGCACAGTTCACTGACACAGCTTCACCTTTTTTCCAGGTACTATTAACATTTCAATGAACTTCAACATCATTGATACCATATCTACTTATTTATATCATGTTCATCTTAATTATATCAGAGCATCTCAGAAAAGAATACCTGTGCTTAAGAGGCCATGTTAAAATCTCTTTTGGTGACTTTTTGTCCTTCTCCCTCTTTGGAAGACTCCCCGCTGCTGGGGTGCTTCCCCAAGGGTAATCACAGGACAGCTCGTGGAGGCAGGGGAAGAAATCCTACTTTAACCCTACTTTTACCACCATCACCACAGCCTGACATCAGCCTTCTTTCCTCCCAGCACATGAGGCCTCATGTGGCTGGTCACAGGACAGAGATCAGACAAGAGACCAGCCACAGAGCAAAGCAGCCAATGAGAAGAATTCCTTCTGACAGAGTCCCTGTGAGGTGTTCTTTGGCACTGCAAGCCTGCTGACACCAGTGCTGAGCCCGCACCTCATGCAGCATTCTCCCTGCAGAGACACCTGACGAGGCCAGGAGACAGGAGTCACCCTCAGCACTTTTCCAGGCTGGCTTCATTCCCTGTCTGGCCAAACCATTTATGATGGCATGCCAAAGTCTAAGGAGAAAAACAAAAAAGGATTAAAATTGTACTGGTTAAACCACTGTTGCCTTTTTGTCCAAGAGGAAGCCCCAATGGCGGGCAGATGGTGTGGGCCTGCTGCTGACCTGCCCTTAGCAGGATAAGGAGCAGGCTGGACCACTGGCACGCTGTGAATGCCTGGTACTCAGGACATCCAGCAGAGTTTTGTGGGATGTGACATTAAGCATTTCTAGGAGGAGGATAATTGCCACATAGAATTATGAGATCTGGAATGCAGGATTTGGGAGAAGGCAAAGGCTCATCTGAAGTGCATGGTATGAGACCATTTGGGTTATATTAAAGGGCTGAGCCAGCGCAGACTCCCCACCTCCTTCCAGAGATGGAGCTCACCCAAGGCCCTGAGCAGAGTCTTGTGTCCAAACAAGAGGCAAGTTTGAGCTTGGGCTGGTGCTCTGAAGTTAGCATAGATGTACCCATGAAAAGCAAGTCCCAGAACTTTTGGCTTCACACTGAAAATTGCTTCTGTCTTTTCACAAAGAGCTGTTTCTCTATAGGTCAGCAGGCTCTGCACTTTCACAGCCCTTTTACTCCCTTCCACCCTGGTATTTTTTCTTCTGAGTTAGACAGGTTTCTGAACTTTTTCATGAAGTTGCTCATATTTTCCACTGCATTTCCTTTTTACCTCACCCCACCAGTTCACTCTGATCTTTCTTTCTCAGTAGCTCTAGGTTCTGAACTGTTCATTTAAATATGGTGTGGCTTGCCAGCATTTTTTCCCAAGCCTTTTATTTTATCAGTTAAAGAAACAGGAGACACATGAGGCGCTTAACACAAGTGCACCTTGCCAAGATGCCTTCAGTGGTATGCTTTTTCTTTAGGTTTGACCGCAAACATTTTAACATATTTGAATGATTAAAAAGCATTCCAACCCATAATTCTTCCCCAAGTATTTTTGCCATTCAGTGGCCCTCTAGTATTGTTTGTCACAGACATATGTGGGAGAGGTCTTTTAAATATCACTTTTTGAGCATGTTAAGTTATCTTAGCAGCTCAAAGGTTGCAGGGTTAAAAGGAAATAAGCAAAACGGTTATTTTCTGTGGAAATGTTTTTCCTTGCCTCCTTCCCAGTACAGATAAGAAATCCACAAAGGAGAAAATAATCCCCATTCTATTGAAAATTCTCAAATATGTTAAAACTTATTTGATTACTGGAATGTTTACTTTGTAGGCATAAGGCAGAGCATTAGGCACAGATCAATAACAAATCTTCAAGTTCCTTTAGCCTTTACTCCTCAGAACTGTAAAGTGGCATTCAAATAGTACACAGAATATTTGCAGTGGTCCATCACAAACCGCACAGCTCACCTTTTGTAAGCCATGCTCTATCATTTAAAGATGTTCAGTCATCCTTAAATCCAAATGGCTACAACAATAATTAAACATATGGCTTTGCTTTGAATTATCATGGTTCTATGTAATTTCCCTGTTTATGGGGTCTCCTGAAAAATAATTTTCTCTAGTTGTGGCCAATGATTTTATAAATCTTTTCAGTCTAAGGCTAAGAAGGTCAAGCTCCAATGCTGAGGATTGTAGAAAATTTTAAAAACACACTGTAGGAAACAAATGCAAGTTGAAAGCACAGTACTTGCAGTCTTGCAGCTGTCCTAAAATTTCACAAGGCCAACAGTGTAAAAGCCACGGATCTCATTTTCCAAAAATCCTATCACAGCAGTATGACCGCATCCTTTACCCATTTTCACACACTGATAAACAATTACCCACGTAGCATACAGGATAAAGGAAAGACAGACAAAGCAGAACTACAGTGATATGAATAAGAAACGTGTCAAGGATGGCTTCTCACAGCAGTATGGAGAGAAATAATTGGGGTTTGGTTTTTCATGGATTAGCTGATGGCAGCTGGTGGCTGCTCCAACATCCAGCCCTGTTTGCCCCTGACCCAAGCTGTCACTCCAGGCTGGCTTGGCAGCCTCCACACTGACTTCTTCAGCTCCAGCTGCACATTGCACCCCTTCCAGAAAGTTGTGCTGTGGCTTCATCACATTCCAGTTGAAGCTCCTTTTCATCAAAAACGAGTAAGACATTTCACAACTGACTCTATCTTCTGTTTAAACACTTGAAAGGCAACATCAAAACATGTTCGAGGGTGCAGCAGCAGGTCTCAAAGCTGCTTAAGAAGTGGTACAACTAGTGGTACAACAGAAACAGCACACTATTTCCTTCAGAGGTGAATCATTCCCCAGCCCTGTCTTTATAACAAGTGTTAAGGCCTTTTTTAAGTCACAAAAATGCGTTTTTTACATTATTTTGACCAAACTGTGGAACAACCATTCTGGTGAATTAAATGTGTGTACACTTGTGGAAAGTAGAATCTGACACTGATGCAGGGTTAAGCTTGCAGATAAGCTCATGGAAACACAAGAAAAAGCAGAAATTAAGACACTGAATCCTTTCCTGGCTTAAATTGCCAAAGTGCCTTCAAAATACTTAGATTATATTATTGTCATAGAAATGCTACAGGAGGAGCAGCCAGTCTACCCATAAAACCCAAAACAGTGTGCACTCACTTCTTAAAAATAGTCGGTTTGTCTGCTTGTCCAGAAGAAATCCAGCATGGAGGCCAGGCAAGTTGAGATAAAGAAAACCATGCTACATGAGGCAGATGCTGGGCACAGATAGGAGACAAGCCTGTGAAGAACAGCTCAGCTCCCCAAAGGCTTCAGGCACCAGAGTGCAGTGAGGGGGAAGAGTACATAGCACAGCTGTGAGTCCCTCTATGGAGAGGCATTTCCTTTGCGGAGTAATTTTTCCTGTGCCTATCTTCAGGAAAGAATTTGTGTGTCTGTTAAGTCCCACTAATGCACTCTCAGAAAACCAGAGCATGTGCTTAAGGGGTCCTTGTATCAAGTTTTACAGGCATCATTTCAGCATGCGTATTATCCCCTTGGCTTAGTGGGACCATGCATTCCTGGAGTCCCTGGATGATCTTACTGTATCCTCCACAGTAAACTCAAATGGAAAAGGAAAGTGAGTATTACCAAATCAAGAAAGTTCATAATTGAAACATTACTAACACCTCCTCCCCCATCTAAGGCTCCATTTTGGGGTATCTGATCCTGTGAACAGCTTGCACAACAAGGCACCGAGGTCAACGGGGCTAACAAACCACAGGTTGTGCTTTCTGTTGAGTCAGAGGCTGTGCTGGCAAACATTCAAAGCCAATTCTGCAATGATCCACCATGCATGTTCTTGTTATCAAGACAGTAGAGCCATTCTGGTGTAATGTTTTAGAGATCTTTCTCTGGTAAAAAAACATATCTGTGCATTACTTTTTGTTGTCTCTTAAACAGAAATACACAAAGCTGTAAAAACACTTCTAATTATGTTTAAAAACCGATCACATTAAAACCAAAGCTGATGCCAAGAACATATTATTCACACAAACCAAGAGATGCAGAAACATTTCACTCCACTGCTATGGTCTGCAGGATAAAGTAAACAGGATAATTCAGTCTGGTTTAAGGAGGCCAAAGTCATGGTACCTGCCTTTGTATCTCCCCTTCTTGCCCCATAGGCTGCATATAAACTTTCTTTTTAATATACCCTTTCCACTTATACATTCTTTTTAACTACTTCTTCATTCCCCACTCCCATTCCCAGGGCCTGTCTTCCTGCTGTGTTTTGTCTCTTTATCCAGTTGTTCTCCACACTACTTCTCTCCCAGTTTCAAAGCACATTTTTCCTACCCAGACTGTATGAGAAGACACTGTGTTCCATCTTTCTTTTCCCAATGTGGATGTAGAAGTAGCAGGTTAGGAAAGGAAGGATTGAAGCTTCCTTCACTTATTTCTCTATCATCCTTCCTCTGGGCTGACCATTTGGTGGATACCTGTTAAGGGGAAGGACAAAGAAGACATGAAAATACAAATAACTGCTTCTTGTTTTCAAATTTGGGACCTGCTGTTACTACTGAGGCCAAAAACATTCCTTGATACTGTGGATTTGGCTGGATGCAGTGAAAAAAATGACCAAAAGTTGATTCTGGAAGCTTACTGCAGAATCCCAGTCCTCTTACCCTGTAAACACAAGTGGATCAGTCTGACAGATAAGAAGTACCAAGTGTGACCTAAACACTGAGCTCTGGAAACACAAGAGGCACGCCAGCGCACATTTCTTACCTAGACTAGCAAGGCTTTGCAGTGAAGTGAAACATTGAATAGAGGATTATCTATATTTGTGGGCAAAGTCCTCTAGCTAAATCTGAACCACAGATCTTCACATCTGAAAATAAAACCATTATCTAGAT